TAAAGTTTGAGAAATTCTTGTTGATTTTTTGGAATCAACGTGTTTTTTAAGGTTGACAACTTATGCATAACGTGTCCTATATTTATGACACTTGCTTCGTCGTGCAGCTAGGCAGAGCCTAAACGGCATTATATTCTGATTTAGGTTTACAGGAATCGTCCAGCCTTAGATATCAAACACTCCATTTATAGCTTTAATTTGTTCAGTAATTCAAATTACTACTTGTTTTGTTTCAAACTATAGTTTTGTTTCTGCTAAGGAACCATCTTCAGGCCGTACAAGGTATCGTTCAGGTTATTTACCTCCACCGTATATGAGGGTCGTCATTGATAATAAAAGTACTGTACATAAACATTGATAGACAAACGCCAAACATTAAAACAACCGTGTGTGTGTTTTATGTATTTGTATTATCAATGACGACTTTCATACACTATACAGTGTAGGTAAATAACCTGAACGACACCTTGTACAGCCTGAAGATGGCTCCTTAGCAGAAACGAAACTAAAGTTGTCACAAGCAGCGATTTGGATTACTGAATGCAGGTACATAAACCATTATAAATGTTCAAACGTCATTCGGAGGCTAACAACTCTTGAAAATGATTCATAAATCAGCGTACCTATTAAATCTAATTATTATTTTTTGTTTGTTTTTATAAGCGACGTATGTTCTGTAATTTTCGTTACCAACCTAGCTCAGGACTTGACGCTCACGGCCCACCATGTAAAATACTAACTGTCTTGTTATTTGACACGCAAATCATCATCTCATATCTTAGTAGGGATTTTGTTTGCTCTGCAATTCGTCTAAATTTAAGTGGGAAAGTTGGCTAACGATGTTTATGCCTTTCTGTTTCCCATAACGTCCACTGACCACTGGTCCAGCAACATTCCCTTGATCCTTTCTACAACTACAATCGCTTGAATTGTGCTATTCGAATAATAAACACATAAATAATAGTGTTGATGTAATGGGTTAAATAACAAAAATTGTAATTGGTTATTGTGCGACAAACATCTAGAAATGTTGCAAATGCGTTATACAAGAAATATAAGTGAAAGGAAAACTTAAAATTAGTCCATATATTATATATACCTATATATGTTGTATATGTGTACTTTCATACTAGTCAGTAAGCTATTGAAACATGTTTAAAAAATACTACTAGCATTTAATGAACACAGGGAAGAAAAGTTTTCTGATGTTTGCTGCTATAAGGGACGTATTGTTATTTTTAATATGTTACAAGTAGTCAATAAAACAAAAATTGACAAAACTTATGGATTTGCTTGAAAATAAAACAATCGGTGTCCGGACAGTTGCGGACACGGACAATTGGGGACACGTCTTAAAAGCGGACAATTGCGGATACTAGAGATTAATGCTACCTAACAAAGGGTTTGACAGGTATCTACAAATATTTCACTGCCGGACAACTGTGGACACATGTTCTAGAAAGAGTCTGATTTCCACCTAAGGAACAGATACATACACGATATATGTTAGGTTAGGCTAGGTTAGGTTAGGTTAGTGTGTAAAGTGTGATATAAATCAGTCTTAAAATCATATGTATGAATCTGTTCTTTAGGTGGAAATCAGACTCTTTCCAGAACATGTGTCCGCAGTTGTCCGGAAGTGAAATATTTGTAGATACCTGTTAAACCCTTGTTAGGTAGCATTAATCCCTAGTGTCCGCAATTGTCCGCTTTTAAGACGTGTCCCCAATTGTCCGTGTCCGCAATTATCCTGTATTCATACAATCGGGTGGTTTTAATGGCTACATTCAAATTTGCCAAAACCTCCGTAAGCAACAAAATCTAAGCTAAGAATTATAAAAAAACCCCTTCTACAAACCCAGAAACCATAGCCTAATTTTGTGAGGATTATAAAAACATTGACCTAGATATTATTTTGTCTAGGCGTAGGGTCTAATCATGCTGGGGAGAAAACAACCCCAGGATAAGGAAAATCATGACTTGGCTTGTAAAGGCTGCAAGCTTTACCTAATTGACTAAAACACGATCTCATTGACAAATGATACCTCGGAGCCATTTCCTTAAATTACGATATTTTCCCAAAACACTCAAAATAAGCACCATCACTAGTAAACATTCCATATACTGAACCATGTGAAAAATCTTGAGAATAGCTTCTGAGAATGTATCTGTCAGAGTTGTTTTTATTATTTTTTTTGTAGGCCTGTTTTTAGCGAATTTCCCATATAGGGAATAAGCTATTACCGTAGTACTCATGGTAAGACCTGGACCCGGGACCGATTTTTTTTCGTTTTGAGGTCCCTAGAGGCCAAAAACACCATCCGTTCAAGTTAATATATATATGTCCGTTAGCGCGATAACTCGAGAAAAAATGATCCGATTTTGATGAAATTTGGTACAAACGTGTAAACCTACGTTTATTCGAACGAGTTCGCGAACCAGCATGATCGGACCATGGGAACGGGGGTTTATGGGGTAAAAATGGGTTTTTCCCATTTTGACCCAAAAAACATAACATTTTGCAATTTCTTTCCAAACTATTTTGTAGAGCTTAAAAAAACAAATAATTTAGTATATTGAAGCGTTATAATGCGCCTAATGGTTACGGAGAAAATTCCAAAAAATTTTTAATTTAAAATTCCCATGTTATTCTTATGGAGAATAAGTAAACTGTTGTAGTTTGCTTGTTTATTAACATATTTTGCCCAAATTTGGAAAATGTTTTAATTTCTTACTAACTATTAACATTTTACATAAAAAAAACACTTACCCTCCCTGTTGCAGCAAACCTAAGTATGTGTTAAACTGATTCTATTTAAATAGGGAATAAATGTGATATTTTTAAGGAGACATTTTAGTGTAAATCCAATCAGGCAAATGGAAATTCGCTTAGTCTGCAGGTTTGCTGCGGCGGGGGTATTTTTTTATAAAATAGTGTCTGGGGAATACTTAATCGAAAATCTGTACAGCGATGCTACATGATTTGGCGATTACAAAACATGTTCGGGTGTATATTTTACTCAAGAAATTTACCCTAAAGAGGAAACTAGTCAACATCAGCATATTAAAAAATTACCGGACATTACAATACATGTCAAAACACGATTCAGATTGTATATGATTAAATGTTTACTTATAGTCATAGTCAATGACATAGCATAGTGAGGGACATATCCCAAAATGTAGTCTATTAAAATTTTACAAATATATACCAAATTAATACAGTTTTCTAAAAGATATTTGAATGTCAATATTAAACGATAAGATAAGCTGATAATATTATCTGTAAGATTGTTATCGTAATTAATTAAAAAGATACCTATGTAAAAGAACTAAACATCGGAATTTCAAAATACCACCTAAAATAAGTTTATATTTTACTAGGTGACGTAATTTGTTTTGGGACATTGCCCTGACCGTGTTCCAAAGGATGTATAAGTTGCAACTTTGCATTAAATGTCGTTAATTTGATTCAGTTCGAAAATAAAACTGAAGATTTTAATGTTTGTAAATGCAAATGTTTCCTAAAATATACACAAAAGGTCAAGGTGGAATCCGTTTTAGGTAGCAGGAATGCTAATCCTATCGGACGAGCGCCGAGCGGAGGATAACGGCCTCAATCAGCTGATCATTGTTGTCATCAGCTGACCTTGACTACTGTTATCAGTTAACCACGTGACCTTCAGGCCGACACTTCTTCTTTCTCATTCCGTCTTCCTATCTTCCTGTATCCAGCTTCCGGCTGCTGACTTGCATCTCCTTAAAGTCTCGATCGTTAAGAAGCTAGTACCGGTACTTACTTAATGGTTCTAATGTACTTCCTGTAATTGATGTAAGGTAATCAGAAGATTTGTTGGATTGTTACATAATAATTTGCTTGAACATTAACGAAACTCTCTTTTAGCTTGAAGTTAGGATAGTCTACATTTTTCCATTTTGTGGAAAATAGTGCCAAAAATAAACGGTATCAGCAATCTGACATGTTTTTTTCTCTCATTAGCTTGTCAAGAACTCGCTTATCATGGGTAAGCGTGGGAATAGCTATAACATTTAATGAGGAAGATAACAAATCCTATACTTTTTGGACCACAATTTTACAGCATTATGGGTTCTACTAAAGTTTGTACCTTTTTGTTGAGAGTAAAAAGAACACTACATACTTAATAAAAAATGGTTAAAAATAAGAAGCTGTTCTGAGATATTTATGGTTAATTTTGGAAGAAAAGTTTTTATTTTTGCTAGATGTAAAATTTAGCCGTTTTGTAAAACTTACATTCAGCATTGCGATAAAAAAGTAGTATAAACGTATTATATTTTCCTAACTGGTGAAACATTTGGTTTTTCTAAACTGAACACACTGGCGTGAATTTAAGAAAAACTTTTCGTTTAGGTACAGGATTACCTAAACAAAACCGAAACATAAACTGAAAATTATATATTGAAATAGAAATGTTTCACTCTCTCCTAAGGAAATCAATTCACTAGTAGAAATAGCCAAATTAGTGTATGCCTAAGTTGATTTCTTGTACTTTTTTCCAGTTTGCAGGATTTCACATTTTAATTATTTCCTTTTGGTAAAGATTTGTATACAACACAAATACAAATTTACTTCTTCTATAAAAAATGCACTCACTACCACAATTTCTAACTCCACATCCATCTTTTGATCCTCTCCCAAACTTACTTCTGTTTTGGTGAAAGGTGGATTGAGGACAGTGCGGAACGCCCGATGCAGTGTGCACACCCCCTCTAAAAAGTGCCGAGACGGCTGTGACGACCGTAACGACCCAGTGAGCGCTTAGCTTTATTCTTTTTCCGATACAATATTCACTACTGACAGGTTAAGTGTAAGAGAGGGCCATGTGGCCCTAGCTTTGCCTGTTTAAATAAATCATTTTTATTTAAAAAATCATTTTCATTTCTATGCTGTAAGTATTCATGTAAGCTATGTTGTTACTTTACATTTGCTACTCCTGTTACATAGTCAACAACTGTTCTAGATGGCACTGCTGAACATGTACGGGTGGAGATCTGAAGAGCACAGAATCACCACAGAGGACGGCTACATACTTCCACTGCACAGGATAGTGAGCAAGAAGAGCAAGAACAAGAAGCCTCCAGTGTTACTACAACACGGCATCCTCGGGGCCTCGGACATGTGGATACTGAGAGGCTCTGACAAAGACTTGCGTAAGTAATACTAGGTCCTGGGTTCATGGGTTCAAATCTCCCCAATCACCAAGGGCTTTTAGCTAGAAGATAATACCGCGACCATGGAGAGCGAAACAATGTGAGAGGTCTCGATGAAGCGCGCCTTCAAGAGAATAAAAACAAATTGCTGTTTTCTATACTGTAGAGGTTTTAATACAGGGTGGGGCAATGAAAGCGCCCCAATTTATAATCAGTACAAACTCAATAATATTCACCCTATGAATATAAATAGCACACCAAAACACAGCTTATCTTTTGCCATTTTAACTTAACAAAGTCATTTTTCCATTTCTTGAGAACAAAATCCTACAAGTGACTTCATTGTCCTACTTGACATTCCTTTTTAGCCACTTGAAACTCCATCAAATACTCCTCCAGCACTTCTTCAGGAATCACTTTAGTTTTTGGACTATCCTTAGCTTCGGTTCAAGCAAATCTGTGGGGTGACTTTGAAAAACCTAGAACGGCAAGTAGCTTATTAGAACAACCCCCCCTCCCAAAAAAATTAGCCAACGTAAAGCTTTCAACAACAAAAGCTATCTGGCAAATCTCTTCGGACTTTGAGTTACTTGGACTCATATTCTTTTAACATTTGCTGGTGTAGTACAAAGAGTTTTGCGGCACCCACCGATTATTTTTTTTTTGTTTAAGCGATTATCCTAAATAAATTTACCTAGTTAAACATTGTTTTCCAATCTGGAACAACGCCATGTTGATCAAGGATGGAATACGGTCCAAACAATCTCTGGGTTTTTGCACAAGAACCACTATTTTATAAATAGGTTTCCACATCAAAATCTTAGTGTTAATAGCCTCAGGCATAATATTTACTAAAATGGCATAGTATAATTGATGTTTTAAGCACAGCTGATCATTCATTGTTGCAACAATTAACATGTGACAGGTAAAACAAATTGTAGCGTTCTCATTGCCTCACCCTGTACAACTCAAATACTTGTGTATAGTTAACAAAAACAAAAACCAGATCACTTGCTACTAAGGTTAACCGCATCTGCCCAGATAATACAGGGTGATTACAAATGGAATAAACATTTTGTATTTAATTAATATGTTTTGTCTATTTAATTTGTAATCACTACTGTAGATTTTTTTTAACCATCTAGAATTTTAAAACCGGTCAGTATAACCAACCTTTTACATTTCGATTTTTAAAACCTTTCTTTTTAGGAACCTAGAGACTTCTATTTGCATCCCTGTTGCAGTAACAACATAGAAACCATCCAAACAGGCGTCTAAGTCTAGTTTTGTTTTCACTCACTTGGAAAAAATTGGAAAATATCACCAACTTTTCCAAAAATTTTTAGAGTGTGAAACAGTCCCTGAGTACAGATGAAAGTTAAACCACATATAACAACAGTGAAATGTTGTAATAATTTTTGTTGTGTAATATTTTTTATTTCTTATAGTGCCATAATGGACTTTCTTCCGATTCAAGTAAGCCACCTATAAGAATACAGTTTTAAATTGAAAAATAACTAATTTTTTATTGTTAGCAAATGCCCTATCTTTTTATCAGATAATTTTGTATTGTACTGAATAAGGATTCTCTTTTTGATTTTACTACTCTTTTAATTTTACGTAAAGGTAGGTATTTTTCCAGATTAGGTTTTTTATAAATTAACACTTTTTTAAAATAAAACTTTCATTTAGGTATTTTAATTGTAGGCCTACCGTAAAATATTGATACTGATAAGTATGTTTTTTTTTCTTTTCAGCTTTTGTACTGGCCAAGGCAGGTTACGATGTGTGGCTAGGGAACGTCAGGGGAAACAACTACTGCAAGACTCATGTAACAATGAACGATACAATGGACGACTTTTGGGACTACAGGTGTGTATCAGTACTAAATAATATCTAGTTGTAAAGCTTGGACGTTAAAATCCCTCTCGGTACAATCAAACACCACACCCTGTACATATTACTGTCCCTGAACTTTGACCATACAGGTGTTTAAGGAAAGAGAAAGGACTAAATGGAGAAAGAACAGTTTATAGGACAGGAAGTACAGCTGGGAAATCTGTGAGAGTGACATAACAGGTGTCTAGCTGTGACAATGACCTTGGATTGTAGAGCAAGGTTGACAACAGCTGACCACAACACCATTGTCACTGTCACACGGCTTAGCAGAAATAGTTTAAACTGGGTGAAATTTTCTCCTCGTTAAATTATAAAATTTATTTTGAAAAACATCGACAGAATCATGTACGAGTTGTCTAATTGCGGCAAACATTTAGGAACAACTTAATTAAAACACAAACCTAGCTTAGAACTAGAAGCTCGTGGCATAGATTTTGACTAAAAATAAATAGATACTTTGAAGATAGTCAACAATTAATTGAAATCCTAAATAATTTGACCAAAGAATATCATAACCTCTCAGTATAAGAACCTAAAATCTTATAATTTTAAAATTATTTGAAGTTTATTAAGCTGTAAAGTACATACAACATTTGTTTGTAATAAGAAATGTTTCCCTTTTAACTAAAAAATTGACGTCAGTTAACGTCAACACTGGTTGCTGAACTCTCACTTGATTTTTAACACTAGAGGTTACATTTTGGGTCTTTGAACTATTTTAAGTCAATCCTCTTCATAGTTTGGTTCCGTAAGTATATACTTTGAACAAACATAGGTTACCAAGAAAACCTAAACACTAGTTACAGCAGATGTGAACATACACATTTTTATTGCAATTCTTTATGAGCCCCAGCATTTTAGTGGTTTGAGATTTAGAGGGTGTCTAAGACACACATACACAATACACTAGCACACTAAAGCTGGGTTTTCCTAGGAGCAAGAGAGCGGAGGGCGCTTTTTTCTTGTCCTAGAGTATCAATGATACTGATTTCCTAGTATGCTTAGTAGTTTGAGAAAAAGTTAGTAAATTCCCTGAATAAAATTAGCTATGATTACTTACCTTAACCTAATCCACTGTGTGTTATGGTGTTTAGTTTCCATGAGATGGGGTACTACGATGTCCCTGCAATGATCGACCACATCCTAGCAACGACGGGTCACAAGCAGCTGTTCTACATCGGCCACTCCATGGGCACAACAATGTTCTACACCATGTGTGTGTCTCGGCCAGAGTACAACAACAAGATACGAGGCATGTTTGCGCTCGCGCCCGTCGCATACATGTCTCAATTCCCTGCTTTCCTCAAGCAGATGGCCAAATATCGATACCAGCTTTGGGTAAGTACTAAATAAAAAAATTGATGTATAGGCTAATCCCATTAGGTAAAGGTAGACAATAACTTGTCTATTACATATAAATGTATGTAAAAAAATATAAATTATGAAAAATTCATAGCTTTGTCCAATACTGTTATGTAGTATGTAGTATGTAGTATGTAGACATGATGCCTACCAACTGTCACACTCAGCTGTAAGAGTGATCTTGTGTCACCTGGTAGTGAATCTGTTAAACAAATTTGAATGTTTGCTCACAAAGCGGAAACATTTTTTAAAAGGTTTTTATAAGAAGAATAAACCAAAATGTTGGTTTCTGAAACCAAAGGGGTTTTAAGTTTTTAAGGTTCAGTAAGAGAAATTTGAGCAATAGTGTTTGGATTTTGGTTTAACCACGTAACATTTAAGTCTTGAATCGATTGAAGAACTTTAGTGACTTTTTTACATCATTTACTTGAAAAAATCCTAAAAAGTCAATAATCCAAAAACTGTCTCTTCCTTTGAGACTTGATTAAACATTACAGTTTATCTTAGGCTATAGAAAAAAGATAAAACTACGTTTTAACAACCGTTTTTGAAAACCCATCATACCTTTATAGTATCTTCTACAAATTATTATGCCAAAACTTGCAACTTGAGTTGTAATGGTTTAGGATCCATTTTAGCACCATCGCCATCATATCACTTTCTTCTTCAACGTCCAATATATCAGACGAAAGACTAACACAACCAAACTTTTATTTACACTTACAGTAAAAATCGGCTGAAAGCTATACCAGCATTTGCTGCTATTTGGGAAGAATAACTGTATAACTTGTATCGTTGTATCTGGTGAGGTATAACTACATGCCTGGGGTTTTGGTTGACCTGTTGTAAAAGTGCTTGACTGACTGATATGTCTTATCAATGTCTGGATGGTCTATGGGTTGTCTTTTTGGACAGAAGAAAGAATCATAAATTAAGAGAACAAATCCTATCTGAGTCAGGTGTGGTGTGCATTGTGCTAGATGGGAGAGACGACCTAAAATAAACGGTGAATGGCTCAGATGAAAGTTGGTGGGATGGGTGAATGCTTTGTAGATTGCACTTAGTCAGGAATTTACAAATTTTTGTTTGTCATAATTTTTTGTTATAAGTCCTTTGAATTTTTATTTACATAAGGTGAGGGTAAAATCTTACTAATATTATAAATGTGAAAGTTTGTGTGTTTGTTTGTTTGTTTGTTTGAAGTTCAATCACGCATAAACCACTGGACGGATTGGGGTGAAATTTGGCATGATGATAGCTTACATTCCCGATTAACATATAGGCATATTTTTATCTCAAAAATCCTTTCGGGCTCCGCCCCAGTGGCTCTGTTATTCCCCATGTTAACCTTATGAGTATTCATATTTAAAGGGAATTACAGAATTTAGTCAGCTGTTTCAACTAAAAAAGTTGGTTCTATGATATGGAAAAGCATTAAAAGTTATAAGATTTACCAACAGGGTGCAGCACTATACTTTTTTGCATTTATGAAAACAGCTAATTTGAACATGTTTGAACTAAGCAGCAACAAAAAACTGTGATTCGCAATGACAACTGTCAAATTAGGATTGTTTATACAGTTATGTTTATGTTTTTCATTTCATGAATAATTTGTGATATTGGATCATTTATATTTCTGTATTGTTTAGGTGAAGTGGTAGAACATTATGGCTATGGTAGATGTGTAATACTATAGAATACTGTAAATTTAAAAAAGCAAATTTTATCAAACTGTGTCCTCTCTTATTGCAAACGCAAAGCTTGAGTATAACTGCAATAAGCATTTTATGTTTATATTCCAACCCCGTACGAAGGACGGGTACTCTGCTAGTGTTAAATAATGTGAAAGGAGCATAACTACTTGGCTAATTAATTTGCTTTTCTTCTGCCTTTTCTCATGCTCTTTTACTTTTTTTTGTCCAGAAAATTTGGAAACACCCTGTATACTCAATAGTATTATTAACTACTAGAGAACCCGTGCGGCTCAATGAGCCGCATAGTATGAAACATAACGCTGAGGAAAACGCCATGCTTAAATTCGAGTAATTCTAGTTAGGCCTACATCTTAGGAGTTGTTTAAATACTTGTTAGAAACTAATTTTAAATATCTCTATTTGCGTCGTCAAGATTCACCTGCATTATTTCTGCTCTCAGTTTTAACTGATAGCTTCTAATGAATGCTAAACGATCTGCTTCAATTCGAGCTAACATGTTGCAACCAAGATTTTCCAACATTGCGAATTGAAGAAAACTGTTGCCTAGACATCCCCCTAATCAAACAAATTTTCTCCGTAGAGAATCCTGAAAAGTGGAGTGATATCAACCATTTAATGTGCTCCATTGTTTACCCACAAACTCTGGGTTATCAACTGGAAAGCCTTTGAATAGCCTAAAGCAGCAACACCATTAAAAGTTTGTTAACGTATTTTAACGTGTTGTGTGTTAGTCACAGTATATGCCCCGCATCAGAACGTCCTCACGTTGTTCAGTGGGGTTTCTCTTAATACCTGTCCCAAAATTTTGAATATGGATTCATTTGTCGAAATAGGTTGGATAAATTTTGTATCTATAAGATTTGGATAGGAATTTTCATTTTCTCTTTTTGAACAGCGTATATTATTTGCCTCTCCTTAATCATAAAAATAAACTTGACTTTAACTACTCAATCGTTGAATATATAAACACTAATTCCTTCACTTATGTCTAATATTGCAACTAAAATTCAGTCAAAAAACTTTTTATACGTTTTTTTGAGGAACAGGCAACATAACCTAGAAGTAAACAATCCATTTGTGTTTTTCCTCAATTAAAGTAGAGCGAGTAATACAAAAGTTTACAATGAAAACATAAAGTCGCCAAGATTTGGTATAATCTTACTAATTGAACTTATCAACTCAAGGCATTATTATGGTTTCTAATAAATGTTTTGAAATATCTCGATCCGCCAGTGTCATAGCCTAAGTAAAATCTCTTGCATACATTAATTTGATATGACATTAGGCAAGTTTATTTTACAATCGTGACAACACGGCTTCGTATGGGCTTCGTATATTTTTTCACTTCCAAAGTAAGTTGCATAGCAAAACTGGCAAATATAATTCATCTCACCAAGTGCATGTGTATATGGATGTGTATCTGTTAGATCAGACCTCTATTTCTCTACTCTCCTCATACACATAAGATACCTTATTATTAATTGTTTCCTCCTCCCGTTTACAATATTTCGTCTTTCAACTTGAGGCATTTTCCGTTCTTCCAACAAAACTGATTAACTGCTTAACTTGGTCTTAACCTACTGAATACTAAAACATTAATATTTACTCCCAAAAAGCTAATGAGTTTCTTTTTATAAACAGCTGTTTTTGTTTTTAAATTTGTTCTGTGTATTTCTTATAGGGAAACCCCGACCTTTGAGAGGGTGTCACGCCCTTAAGAGTTGGAATTTTAAAGTTCTAAAACCTTATTGCAAAACTACATATTGAGACGAATCTTTTGACACCTTAAACGTTGAAATTGGTCCACAAATAAGGGAGGAGTTGCGTTAACAAAATACGGCTTCACGTATTATATATATAGATATTGCAAAACATGACGTAATACAGAAGAAAATCAATTTTAAAATCAGAAAATAACATTGCAAATACCTCTTTTGGACTATTCAGTAACTCCCAATAAATGTGTGTTGTTTAAAACACAATTTTAAAATTAATTAACAGCTGTTTCATTAAAAAGTATTATCCACATGGCCAAGATGTAAACAAATCTGTGGAGGGATCTTTAAAGGCTTCTGGGGCAGAGCCCTAAGCGAATTTACTTCGTTTTTTTTTTTATAACTCATCTACAGACCAATACCTTTCTTTGGACACCTCTATCAAGTTTTTACGCCCAGCCGTTCTCTCAAATTAGTGGAGACAAAGTTTCCAATTAAATATTTAGATTCCCCCATGTTAATCTGGGAGAAAACCCAACTTTGAAGGAAGATCCTGCCCGAACTAATAAAGATATCAAAAAACGAAAAACACTTTGCTTTTTACATCGGCTGGTATATTTAAAACAGCTTATAGAAACACCGTAGCAGTACTCTAAAATGACTGGACCTTTGGTGGCCTGTGGGGCATAGTATTATATGAGGGGACTTGTGAACAAATTACACATTTTAATAGGGTTCAAAAAAACATAATTCCAAGGATTTAGATCCACACCATAAAGACTGAAGAGTTACCTACCTCAATCAGGTTGCATTAAAAAAATACCCCAGCCGCAGCAAACCTGCTGATTAAGCGAATTTCAACTTGTCTGATTACATTTTTACTAAAATATTTCCATAAATAATACATATTTATTCCCTATTTAAATAACATTAGATTTAACGAGTTCTTAGGTTTGCTGCTACGGGGAACGTAAAAAGTGTTTTTTGGCCATATGTCAACTGTATAGGATGAAATAAATAAATTTTATCAATATATATCCATAAACCAGTAAACTACAATCATTTTAATTTTCTCCATAAGAATAACATGGGAATTTTAAATTACACTATTTTTTTATTTTCTCCGTGACCGTTAGGCATACAACAGCGCTTCAATATACAAAATTAATTCTTTTTTTAAGCTCTACAAAACGGTTTAAAAAGAAATTGCAAATTTTAGGGTCAAAAATGGGAAAACCCCATAAAACCCCCCATAAATCCCCGTTCCCATGATCCGATTATGCTGGATACCAAACTCGTTTGAATAAATGTAGGTTTACACGTTTGTACCAAATTTCATCAAAATCGGATCATTTTTGCTCGAGTTATCGCGCTAACGGACACATATATATATTATATGAAATTGAACGGATGGTGTTTTGGCCTCTAGGGACCTCAAAATGAAAAATTAAATCAGTCCCGGGTGCAGGTCTTACCATGAGTACTACGGTAATAGCTTATTCCCTATATGGGAAATTCGCAAAAAAAACTATTCAAACATTTTTGT